ATTTGATGAAATTACAAAATACCAGAAATGTTGTCGCTAGATCTGGGAAGTTAAAAGCTCGTACAGCTCGAAAAAACTGTTATTTTACCTGTTTGTTATGTGATTTTGCTTGTTTTTAATTTTGTTGTCGTTGTTATTATTTTAGTTTATGTAAATATAAATCTGTATTGTTTAGTTAAATTAAAAGTAATATCTTGAAGAGATCACTGCGAATATCAAATTGAAAACCATTGTAGGCTTAGAAATCCTCGAGCATAGGAGCAGGTATTCGACAAGTGGATTCCCATGGCAACTCAATCGACAAGAGATTTATGTAGAGGTAGAAATATTACAAACAGTCTTTATTTTCTCACAAATTATAAACTAACATTTTAAAGGTACCTTTTGTTATCTAATCTTTGATGGCACTGAAATAGCAAAGCTTAAAAAATCATTAGGAAAGAGAAAAACTATAGTATTAATAACGAAACATGTATAAACTCTATGTTATGGCATATAGCATTCCACTGCATATAGGATTCTTCTGAATTAATTTTTGTGTTATGAAAATTTTTTTTTCCTAAAATTTTGTTTGGTGACATTGTAATCGTATTATTTTAAACAAATACCATAAATTCTGCAAATAATGAAACATTTCTGATAACAACTGGCTACGATATATCTTCTTTACAACTAAAGTGTAGTCGAGTCTATGAAGCTGTTAGTAATCTAATTTGCATTCTAAAAATCTAAAAGTCTTGGAGTAAAGAGATTGAAAAAAGTAATCGGTGTTTTCGGTCGCACAAACTACTTCTTGATTTTTCCAAACAGCGTCAATTAAGTAGATACACATTTCATGTACGAAGAATTCAAGCCTCGCACGTAAATTCCACTGGTCGTATTTTCATTTCAGTTGATTTTGGAGAGCTTCTCTTGGCACTAGTAGAATCTAACTTTCCCCAGTGGATAGCGGCCAATGTTTCATTTCCACAACGTGGATAAATGCCATTGAGATTTGACGAAACAGCACATTCAGTAATACTGCTGTCATACCACCAGCCTCCTCCTATTTTTTGAGCACAACCAGCA